GCCAGGATCCTAGTAAATCTTGTTTTGAATCCTGATAGGATCCTAAAACTCCGTGGCTACACACTTCTTTCAGGAATCATCGATTTCCTGGTAGAATCCTGATTCAAAAACGATGGTGAACTTGTCAGGATCCTTGAAAATCTTGATTCGAATCCTGTCAGGATCCTAAATTTCCGTGGCTACACACTTCTTTCAGGATTTAGTCGTTTCCTCAGGAAAAAATAGCGAATCCTTGCAAGATCCTAACTACATCTGTCAAGGATCCGGCGCTGAAACATCAAAGATTTTCCCTGGGGTATCATCTATTAGTTGTGTTTGAAATTTATTCCAGTAATCTATGCTTCAATATGATATCAACAAACTGATTTTCGATGAAGATTATGATTTCACCACGAATTGAAAATGTAGGGTCACGTTTTCTCCATTGCGTTGCCTGTGTTGTTTAAACTTAATCACTCGTTCTAGCCATGTTTTCGTTGATTAAAAAGAATCTTTTTTTCCTAGTATATATATATCATTATTTGAATTTATGTTTGATTTGCATTGATAATTTTATGAAAAGTATAGAAAACACTTTTTTGGTTCTATAGCTCTATCTTCCAAAATTATCTTAGAGATTACATTTACTTGCTTAGATGAATGATCTAAGCGAATAGGCCTCAATCAATCATTACCTAAGAATCACTTAGATGATATCAAAATTTCGAATTTTCAGAGCTACGATGATTTTTGTTGCATTAGAAGGACTTCTCAAGAGTTCCGATTTAGATTACTTTTTGAGCCAATGCATAGTCAAACCTATGTGGCCATTTAGTTGATCTTTATTTATTTCCATATGATATTTGTTATTGGGTTCAATTTGTTCACCATTGGATATGATAGAGGAGATGAAGATTTGAAAAATATTGGCACTATCGGAAATTGTAAACAATAGAATTCAAGAGAAAATACAATTAAAAATGTGTGTGAATGAGGGTGAGTATATTTTTCTATGCGCAAAATTATCAGACCATAAGCATGCATTGTGAAAATGTGAAACAACACTTACATTAAGAGAAAAATTCCTACAATAGAAATGTTAATTATTTGTAGCGATATTATTCATGTTTCTGTCTATTTACATGTTCTCATATCATCATTGCATGTTTAAAAATCAGAGTTATTCTGGCGTGTGCATCCGTTTCTCACCTAGTAAATAAGCTCATGTTATAGTGCGCTTCGATACAACTCAAGTATATTGAAATAATGTCTTATGAATTGGGTTACTTTTCCATTTTCTATCTATATGATATGCTTGAGAGCAAATTTTTTTAGATCTCTGACTTTTACTGTTTTCTAATATCTATCACGCACTTCAGACTTTCGTACGATGGACTACTTGATATTCTAGAATAGGAAAACGGCAATAGATTACTTTCGGTTTTCATGCATTCATCTATTTCAACTGGCTGTGCAAATTCATGAGTTTCTCCATATTTATGTGTACTTTCAAGATTTGTAAAGATATAGCTTTATCACTGCTTTCTATCTTCTATACGTCATATTGATTAATTTTCAATAAATTATAATCTATTAATGGTACAGCGTATGAATATAGTTTTTGGAAAGAAATACGCTAAGAAGATCACGCACACTTTTATTGAAAAAACAAGTGAAAAAGTTTTTAAAAATTCGAGAAATAAGATCGGATGCTTTTGTAAAATATCCACTTCCGTTTGTTTTGTGCACATTCCTTGTTGTACAATGATGTGAGTCTGCATAATTCCTGAAAGTATATATCACCATGTAAACAGACGAGTGCATTAATGTTGACTAAAATCATGGATCGACTACTGATGCGATTGATCAAAATTTTTCCAAGCACCATTTTCTTTACGATAAATCTAAAGTAGTACCCTGTTTTAAATGATTTATACATTGAATTATATTGCTGCTCAAACGATAATCTTTTGTTTGATACTTAATGTACGCAAGGATATTGATTTTTATCGAGAATCAGTTTAAATAGTATCATCTAATTCATTGTTTATTAAATATTAATTCAAATTCAAATTCAACGCCAATTTTAAAAAGATGACCTGTTATATCTTTTGTACTGCTTGTTCAAATTCTTATGCGAAATCGATTTTCAATCATTTAAAGTATCTATGGGCAGATTATCAAAATCGAATGAATTTAGACTTAGCTAAGGGAGAAATTAAAATAAGAATAGATCGTAATTATTCTTGTTGAAGATTTCATAAGCTTATATTATCTCAAGCACATTTATGAAAGGAAATTTGAAAAATACAAAATATGAATAAATAGTATCAAAACAATGGTGATTCGTAGTTTTGTCTCGTTGAATTTTTATGAATAGATTTTAATTAAAAAAAAGAAAGTTTCACACGAAATGTCTTTTGTTATTCTTTGCATTAGCTAAACGAAATATTCATTATATGGTCTCTCGTTCTAGGTGCATGTCATCAAAATAACTCATAAGTCAATGAAAAAAGAATGAAGGAGAGGATGAGATCCCGTTCGTTGAAACTTTGATATAGATTAAGTTGCTAATACGAGTTTGATAGGTGAGTACACGGATGGTAAATCGGTTGCATCAGTTTAGTTATAAACATGACTAACGTAAGACGCACTTTACGAGCTCTTTTGACCTTCGGAAGTACATGGCCCTGGTTTAGTCGCTCGTCTTCAAAAGGATCTTGCACAAGCCTGACTTTTGCCAGTTCGTTCTCGGTTCCTGTGCCGCTTGACGGGAATCCACTAAATGATCTTCAATATTGCTTAAAATTCATCGAATTTCGGACGATCTTAGTGTAATTTCAGCACTACTTAGTGAGATTGGTATCAGGACACAAGAAGAGCTTATAGTAGCTCATATAATAGTTGCCACTGGCTTAGATTTTTAATCTAGGACATCAAAAAAATCAATACGTGTATCAGCACGTAAAAGGGATTAATTCACACATCAATTTTTCTTACAGACCTTTTTGATGAATTCGTTTGTAGAGGAAGAAAAGGAAACAGAACTAAAATGAGGCTTCTATATCAGGCTCTTAATACTTATCGTCAAGTTTATCAACAAATTGTGACTAAAATTTTCTTTATCATTTATTTATTTATTTTATTCGTACTTAGTGACCAATAGTTGTAGTTTCCATATAAATTTAAAGAAAATGAAGATCGAATCAGAAAGTCATATAGTGTTCATTGAATTATATCTGTCTACCTAACGGGAAAGTGAAGTGGATTGGTGAAGAAAATCTTGATAAGAACTAAATTAGTCGCACCTCATCTTTAGATATCCTAGTTCTTCCTTTGTCTCGTTCTTTTATCAGTATCTAGTCTTCTTTTGCTGCTTATTTACATTTCTTAGTGTTGTATGCGTCTTAACAATTGATACATAAGACGCAAGGAGAAATAAGGAAAACAAACTAAAAAAGTGGACACTTTATATATAGAATTTGCACACATAAAAAATATATACTTCTTGACACAGAAAAAGGGATATGTTTATGTGATTTCTATCTAGTATTTATCGTCAGCATCATCTTCAGTTTGAGATACACCATCAACTTCTTCGTCATCGTCAAAAGATCGATGGCGTGTCTCTGGCAAAGTAGTAATTACAAAAACCAGTAATATGGTCAGTCCAGAATAAACATAATTAGTAATTCGCTCATTCTTTTCGCCGACTGCAGTGCTCACGATCGGTGCTAACATTGACCCAAAGCTGCCAACAAACACAAATATACCGTTAGCTAAACCTCGCATATATGTAGGGAAAAGTTCAGGAACATAGAGCCAAGATACTGAGACAGCAGCGCTAACTCCAAATTTACCTATTTGTGAAATTAGAGTAGCTATGATGGGATAAGATGCCGTCAAGAATGGAATTGCAAGTACACATATAGCGGTCAATAGTGCAAATGTAATCAATGAAAATTTTCTTCCCAATATGGTAATAATAGCAAAACCAGCAACCAAATAGCCAAGACCTTCGACACCAGCTCCAATAATAAAGTTCGTATACGGACTCAAAGCTCCATTGTTTTCAGCAAGTCCATAGGAAATTGTAGTATAGAGTAACATAGTAACAAATTCAATGCAGCCACAAAGAATTAGTCTAGGCAAGAAACGTAAAACCTTTTCTCGTTTCTTGCTCTTCTTCTTTGTTTTTGTTGTTTTTAAAGCACGAGACTCTTCGATCAATTTAGTATAATGTGGAAACCATTCGCTTTCTTCACGTCGATTGATTTTGGCAATATTTCGCAAACAAGCTTCAAGTTCATCATATTTCTTTCGAGTAAACAGCCAGTAGGGCGACTCTGGAATAAAATAGAGATAAGGAATAGTGACGGCATAATATAGACTCATCAGCCATTTGAGATTTAGCCAATTACGTGCCGCATATGCAAAGCCAGTGATCATTACTTCTCCTATAGTATATGCGACTAGAGCAACACCCGCAGCAAAACTTGTATGAGAAGATGATGTCAATTCCATTATAAGCAGAAAAACTACACCATATGGGTCTATACCAGACACAAGCTGATTGATAATCAACAGAATGAACCTGAAAAAAATCCTTATTTTGTTTCATCATAGTATCACCTTTTTTCATAAATACTTTGTATTAACGCTCATACTGACAAACTGAAGCAGTACTTGCGTGATACCAGTGACAATATAGAGCCCCAAGCTCAACACTTGCAAGATCCTTCTTCGTCCAATTCTGTCACTAGTCGGCCCGGTAATTAGCACTGTAAACCTATATGATGATATCGAAAATTCTTCGGATTGAATGGAAACAAGAAGTATATGGATGCCTTACGTTCCAATCTCATAGACTGTAGAAATCCACGTTTTCTTTAGTCTATTATCACACACAAATTGTGCCTCTTCCGTAAATGTTTTCCCATAGATACTTCTATCAAAGACAAAATCATTGCATACAGATCCATTGATATCTAAACACTCAGATGCAAGTGTTGTCAAGTTAATGATTGCATTTTGATAAGAAGAATTGGTTGATTTATATTCATTATCGTTAGGCCACTCAGTGGAGGGTAGTCGACATCGAAAAAGAGGTGAAGCAAGTCCAAAAACATAGTAAAATCCAGTCATACCACTGCTGAAGTTGAGTAGGCATAAAAAGCAAAAGTGTATCAATTGAAATCGGCCAAAGTCACCACACCGTCTCAGTACATTTTCAAGCGATACTTCATCAACTGTTGCCATATTGTTTTCAACTGCTCTATATTAAGTATAAAAAATTAAAAGTATAGGCTCCTAAAAACAAAGAAATGTTTATATTTTTCACATATCAGTCGGGATAGCTTTGTATAATAGTAAGGAGATGAGGGGAAACAATGACAACTATCCCGACTAATATGTGAAAATGCACTCCAGTGGTTGTACTTTTTCTACCGTAGTATTTATTTTAACTGTTTATGTACGTTAGATTATTGATTAGATCGTGCTTAAGTAGAGATTCAAAATGAAAGTACATTATAAGGGTCATAGATTTTATTGATAAATATCAGCATATTTTGGTAAATGTCTTCTTGTTCTCGTGCTACTTAATATTCGTTTGTTTCACATTCATCTTAATCCATATTTACTCGCTGATTTGCTGTTATGAATGATGCAACTATTAGAAAAGAAGGAAGACCGAATATATCTAAGATGTGCATAGTATTGGTACGAGTTGATATGGTTCGACCAATATACAAACAAGATTAAAAATATATTTTACTTTGCTGTTTACTACAAAGTAAATTTTTATAAACTCCTAATTTTGTATTTTATATTACGCGATTTCAATGACGGTGAACCTGTGCTTCTACAGGTGTTGATATTTCTCGACTTTTTTCATGTTTATTTTTGAAAATTGATTATGAATATATTCAAAATGCGTAGCATTCAATATTATATTGTATGAAATAATATGGATTATATTATTTAAATCAGTCGAATATCTATTAGTGCATCGGTGCTATTCTCTCTAGTTTCTAAGCTCCTTTTTGATTTTACTTTATGATATGTTAGCTATTGAAGTTTAGAGAAGTATTTGGGCATTAATTACAGTCAGTCTTACATGAAATGAACTGGAGCTGATAAATTCGGATACATTTTAATACTATACTTTGCATGGTTCACACTTAGAAGAAAATGAAAGTTTCGCAGTAAGCTGAAGTTAGGCCTTTACTCTTTTCTAACTAAGTAAATATCATTAATTGAAATGGTAGGTTATGTCGAAAATATAGAAAATCGTGTTAAAAAAAGTTTTAAAATGTTTTCAGACATGAAATTCTCTGTTGACAAGTTAAAACTGTGTCAGTAGACTCTGAAGTGTTTTCAACACATAATGATCATCATGTTTAAGACAAGCAGCTTATCATTTAAACAAAACTGGCACGCGATTTGTACAGCAATTCATATTAAACTATGACTTCTACCGATTTATTGAGAGATTTAGTTCAATCTAACGTAAGAACAACCTACTGATTGCAATACTGCCGCATAGAATTAAATGTTTTTTATTAATTCTAACAAGGTTGATCAATTCTTGATTTTTAAGGGAGGTTGATAATCTTGTATTCATTTTTATATTCTCTTCCAACTTTATCAATATTTATTTATTCAATTTAATGTGCCGTTTTGTTGTAGTTGACAACTTCATCAGACATGATTCTATGCACAATTTTTACAATTTTTAATTATAATTTAAAATCATACAGTTAAATATCAGCATTGTGTAAGAGATAAAACAGATGTAAAATGTGTGACA